AAGAGTTGTGTTGTTCAAGCAAGGTTGTGAATATAGGCAGCTCGGATACAGCTGTGTTTTCAAACAGAGAGCAGGTTTCATGTCATTTGAAATGTGTAACTAAACCTGAAATGCATAACAAGGAACTTTTATACAGTATTTTCATCCCTGTTTTTGTGCTTCAAGAGTGTGACAGAAGAGCTGGAAGAGGAAACACAGAAAGTACTGTTCTCCAGGCCTATGCTCAGGATTCTGTCAACAGAGACCTGAGTTAGTTTTGTGTTTGGAAAGGTGTGGGGTTTTGATATAAAATCAAATTTCTGCTTAAAAATATTAATTTCTTTTGAGAAGCCTGAGAGATTACCAAAAAAATGTAAGCACTAAATTTTCCTTTACCTGTTCTTCAGCTACCCCATATTTAATAGATCATTAGTTAAGTAGTGTTTTACATGTATAATTCATTTATTCATAACTCCTTGCTGGAGACCAGAATTAAAAGGATGTAACAATATTTGTGGGTGGCCAATTGGAATTTTGGTAATGTAAATGAATGAAGTTAACAGATTGTACCTGAGGGCTTTTGATATTGAAGTGAAAATTATTTTATGTAACTGTGTATAATTGACATATTTTGAGCAATTATGAGAACTTTTCTTTCTCAACCAAATGTTATAAACAGTACATTAATTGAAGTAAATGTCAAGTTAAAGTTGAAAGGTTTTGATATAATTAAAGACAACTCCTGGAGACTGGGGAGTTACGTGGTACTGATACAAAGGAGAAGGAAGTTGATTGAGAACCCAACATTTTTAGTATTTATATGCAAATATATACACACACACATATGTATTCATATTAACAGAAAAAAATGTGAGACATATTTAAAAAATAAATAAATGGTGCAAATTACTATATTCTACAGATTGTGCTGAAGTGCTTTAATAAAAACCATTATTCAACTTCATTCAAGTACTAGAGGGAAATTCTTTTTGTCTGAAGACTTTTCAGTTTCTTCCTGAAGCACTTTTGGAGCTCTGCTATTACTGCTTTAAGAGAGCTTAATTAAATAAGAGCATATTCTTTAGTCTGTGTTACCATGTATAGTCCAAAAGGTAAATCAGAAAATGTTGGGGGAACCTCACGCACTTAGTTCTTCAGGACAGAGAACTATTACAAGTTTGCTCATATAATCTCTGTGTAGCCGTATTATCTCTTTAGAATTCTTTACTGGTTGTTTTTCTCTGTACCCAGGTGTTTGTGACCAAAGTTTTGGAATACATGTAGCAGAGTTGGCGGCTTTCCCAAAGCATGTGATAGAAAGTGCAAGAGAGAAAGCATTGGAGCTGGAGGAGTTTCAGAACATTGGCAAGTCCAAGGAATCTGAAGGAGAACCACC